AACGTATCAACGTTATCATTTTTCATCGCCCCTTCCTCGAAAAATTAAAACGCGCCGATGTCTCCGGTCGAATCGACGATATTTTTCATCCACCCGGAAAACCGTGGAGCCGACGATTTTTTCGTGTTTACCAGGCATTTCGTCGTCAGGCCGGAATATCAGTACCGTGCAAAACATTTCCAGCTGCAGCCCGACAGCCGCAAATTCCCAGGGCTGTGCTCTTGTCATTGGGCGGCCCTGCGTCCACCCACACCCGCCCTGTATCCGTATCGGCCGTGGAAACGATGTAGCCTCGCCGTTAACCGTGGCGGCATGTAAAACGCGCCGCGCACAGCCCTCCACCAGTGCCTCCTCGTTGTAGTTGCGTCGACAACGCGTCCTGTATCGTGTTGCCGTTTTAGCCGGCCACTTCATCCTCTCCCATAGAGTACTCGTGTACCCGTGAAATAGTAAATACAACCGGGTTGTTGGATCCCCCGCTGGACCCATGGGACTGCTAACAGTCGTTGACCGAACGCTGTTGGATCAAGCTGTAAAATTGTCGATAAGGAATTTTCCCGATAAATAGCTCCCCGGATTAGAATTAATTTTCTTTAAAAATCATCTTCCCGACGAATCATCTCTCAATGACGAATTCGTGCACAATCTTTTTATATTTTATATATCGTCCCCTTTCATTCAGTCGTAGGAATAAAAAAATGGAAGGAGGATCTTATCTTTGGAAGAGGATATTTGATTTTTTAAGTATCCAAAATATAATCGTAAGACGATGATCTAAGCGAAAAGAAAACCGCAAAAAAAGAATATGCGCAAATATGCGCATAATATATTAACGTGGATCATTTCATTTTCAACTTTTCGCTTTTAGAAATAATATTTTTTGACCCGATCTCGATTAAATCGTAAGAGAAACAAGTTTCACATCAGTCATCGATCGATTAAAAAAGAGCAATCAAGTTTCAAGTTTCAAATTTTTATTCAAATTCAATCACATAATTTCGTCGCATTTCTCCAATATGACTCGTAATTGAAATTGTACTTGCACCATATTTGGAACCAATCTCGAGATTTATCGGAATAATTTTTTCCTCGACGACGATTCTCTCCGAGGGCGATCATGGAGGATTCTCGAGCGAGAAATCCCCATTGTTCGACTCGAGATAAAAGACGGACGGTGAGGATTCCGATTGAGAGCAGCTGGATTCGATTCCCTGTTTTCCGCGCGACGAAAGAAGCCCCCGGCTCGATGGAAGAAAGAAAGATTCGCTCGACGGTCGCCGGGTAACGCTTACGCGAAGCTTTGCAGACGCGCAAGAAAATCCATGCCGCCCCACCGATATGAAATATGAGATATGGTACTTTCCTTCGATTTTCCTTCTCCCATCTCTCGCGAGGATTTCAGTTAGAGGGTAGGGACGCCCCTAGAGGGTCGGAACGTGGTCGATGAAGACGAGAGGAAATCAATGCCTCAGCCAGAGTCCGGCTCACCTTCGTCTTCTCTTCTCCGATTATTCCCTCTTGAAATTCAAACAGGAAAATCAAATTGGAAATAAATAGCAACCTGGTCGATAATATTTTTCTAACATTTTTGCCAATTTACAAATTCTTCCATCCATCCCCGATATTATATACTTTT